CAGTAAAAATCAACGAGGTCAACAGTGCTGCGGCAACAAGAGGAGGAGCGGCACAGGAGCAGGAGCAGGAGCGCAGCGAACAAGAGCAAGGTGAACAGAGTTGTGGTGATGTCCAGTCAATCGAGTCAATCGAAGTTGGAATTATGAGCTTTGACTTGTTATCCGTCGACCTGCGAGCGATCCTTCGTCGAACCAACTGAGCGAATGCTTTGAATTTAAATTTAAACGACCAACTGCAAGCCAGTTATCTGCAAGCCCTTTAAAACGACCAACGCCAGTCCTAGGTAATGATAGGAGTTTACCAGATGGAGTGATAACAACAACGACACGGAGAACAACAACGCGAGCGATCGATTTGCAGGATAACATGGATCGTCGTTCCGTTCGTTGTTGTACGGAGTGGTCAAATGAAAAAGTGAGGAGTTCGAAGACATAAGCATGCATGACTCAGGCAGTTCAAACCGATAATATCGGGTAAAAAGCATACTCAAGCATACACACAGCCGAGCCTTTATATGCAGCGGGGCTCATTTTTCGATGAATTCTGTTAACTCACGATCGCGACCTCTGTTAACTCGGCCGATCGATCGATCCATGCTGAAGCTGAGCATGGCCAAGGCTTTGCCGGTGATAGAGATACAAGTAGTGGCAGTAGAAGCAATAGTAGTAGTAGCCGTAACAGTATTAGTAGCGGCTTCTTTAGCGCTCGGTGACGCAAAAGTGGACTCCCATAGGAGTCCATCGTTTAATATGCTTACGAGCGAATCAAGGGGATGCGGTCTTCGAGCGAATCCAAGATAGGATCCTCATTGAGATTACGATGGTCAATAGGAGTAAGACAGGAGATTGCTTCGAGCGATCCAGGGATCGACAAGGGGATTGCCTGCGAGCGAATCCAGTCGAGAAAGGGGTTACACTGATGATAACAAGGGATAGACGTATAAGAATAAGAATGAGTAACATTCATAATCGCATGCTACATGCGACAATACATTGTGTAACTGATTAATCTAACGATCTAAGAGATGTAAAGTTTGTATTCCAAATAAGTGAGCAGATTTGATTATTTTTCTAGAATAAGCCTGCAAATAGTAAGTGTAAAGCTGAATTGTAAGCTGTATCCCGTCGCAGCCATTTGTGGATGGACCTCCGTCAAGGACCATTGGAGGAGGTATCAAGCTTTGGGAGTCACATGATGGGGCTTGCACTAGGCTCGTTCTAGAGTGGGCATCTTCGTACGTCTGAGGTATGCGAGTTCTCTATGGCACCGTTCAGCGGATTCGTCTAGTGAGGTGAAGCCTTAAATAATACTCCGTTATTTACAGCGTGTTCCATGACTCTTGACCAGAGTGTTGCAAATCCTAATCGAGGTCTTGAGAGTGCCAGCGACAATTGGTGGTGAGTGTTGGGAGGGCCCGAGAAGCGATGTGGCAAGTGAACAAGGCAACGAGTGCTATCACCAACCCAGCACTTTCCACTAATTGTATCATAATCAATGTTTTAAAATAGCAATACTTTTAGTTCACAATTTTCTTCTTCTGGGTCACTGAAGGTCCTTTTCAAGAAGCTTAGACAAGCACAGAAAACTGGACAGACTGTGCTGGGTATAGTCATTGCGCATGTACAGGGAGTCTACCCCCTTGCGCATTCCACCCAAGATTCGAGCCTGATCTTTCATGTACATGGCAAGTTCAGGGCCATACTGAGCCTTCAACTGGTATCGGGACACTATTGATTATTGTGTCACGAATCCAGTGTGCTTCCAGCTTGTGGTAGCGGTACTCGAGAGCGAGTTCATAGACAGCACAAAGTCCTTGGCTTTTGGTTGCAGCCGAAGTTGCAGACGAAGAGGATGCATCTGGAATTCCTAGCCAATCCAAGTGATCCAGCTGATGCGTGGACTCGGAATCTTCTGTGTACTGATTTTCAGCAATCACCCGAGCTGTCGAATGGCATAGTCAATCAACGGTACCAAGGCGGCGGCCCAACGATGCAATTCGGCCAACCATTCATGAGCCAAGGATCATCAAAAAACTCCGTGTCGGGAACTTCTACCTCCGTTGCCGTGACGAAATGCGCTGCACTCTCGGCGACCTCCAACCATTCCGTGTCTTGCTCTCTTCCCACCAAGCCACTCACAAAGTAGAAGCGAGACATGGCAAAGGCTGCCTCACCTTGATAAAATCGAACGTAAAACTCTTCGTCCACCTCCACCGTGGGCCATATCTGAATCTTTTGAATAAAGGATCCGTCGTCGTGTTGAGTAGATCGAATATAGTCGGCAAGGCCACGAGCTATTCCAATGTAGCGATCCAGTTGATCTTTGCTGAGCATACCCAACTCTCGGGACGCAGCCACAAACTCGGAAATGGCCAGCAACGTGAGAGCGTTGGGTCCGAGTTTGGCCACGTGAGATTCGACACCTTGCTCGTCGCGAACATTCTCCACAACACACTTTGTCACCATGGGCTGATCATCTTCCAGTATATGGCATTCCTTTAAGTTCTGATTGATGATGAAATCGAGGCCCATTCGAATGCCATGTAGCAAGTTTGCATCCTTGTGGTCGTGCAAGAGACACGACATGGCGAAAAGAGATCCAGCCTGACAGGACAGATTGTAGGCATCCGTTTCATGATCGGTCCTTGGATTGTACTGATAAGTCATGCGACCTCTTGGGAACTTTCCATTGTCCTCCGGCTGAATGGACCGAGTCAAATAGTCTCCTGCGTAAGTGGCGGCCTGCATCAAACGCTCCGGTGTAATGTCGTCTTTTTCGAACAGACGATGACCATGGTACAGTGGAAGCACCTCTGATCCGAAGGGAGACTTAATGGACAAGGAGGAGGCGTCCAGGAAGAAGGAAGATGTGTGGAACAAATTGAGGCCCTTCGGCAAGGATGAAGTTTCCAAGTCGCGGGTCTTGGAGAAGGAGCTCCAGTCAACAGAATCCTGGGAACCGACCCGTTTTCTTTCTAGGACGCATGCAACGATACTGTCCCATCGAACTTTATTTGTTTGTGCGTCGATCATATTCTGGGCCCATACTTCTTCGGGGAGAAAGGTCCATCCTGATTCCCAGTCAAGAGCAATACCATGAAACCAACCACGGCTATGAATTTGCTCATCGAGTTTCTTGGACACATCAAAGTTTTCAATAGTTTCCACGTGGTCAACGACATCAACCTTGATCCAATGGCGATCGTTGAAGACTCCTTGTTTTGTGCCGTGCAGATCCAATGCCATTTGAAATGCTTCGACAGTGGAAACCTGTGAGCTTCCTCGTTCGACTCGTGTGGATTCTCCGTTGGAAATCGAAACGAACACAACGAAGGCGTTATCGTAAGCATGCACCTTTTTGCCTGAATCTTCGAGTAATAGCTCAAGCTCGGTGAATTCAGAGAAAATCCAATTCTTCTTGGGAGAACTTCCAAAGACATGCCAATGCTGAACGGCAAACCATGTGCTCAGGCCAACCATGACGATCAGTGCAATGATCAAAGTAGGGGCGCCCGCGGACCTTTTTTTCATTGGCAATCTTTGGTGAGAATTGCCCAGTCGATATCCTTTAGAATAGCTTTGTGAATCATCCAGAAGCGTCGAAGCTTGCTGCCCCTTCCAAGGATCGCTTAGTTCATTCGATGTGCCGCCGGAGACTCGACGTCGAACGAGAGTCGACATGGTGATACGGTTGGTTGCGTTGGATCAAAAGAAGTCAATAACAATTTTGAAAAGTTTCTAGCACCACCAATTGAAGGGTGAAGGAGCATGCTTTGTGGTCCCATCCGAACTTGCATTGTCCTCTCCCGCTGCATTTGTCTTTGCAAGGCCAAATTTGGTGAGCTCCCACGAAAAAGGCCGTTGCAGCGCTTGATCTGTGCATTCGTTGTGCATTCGTTCCCACGAGCAGGTCAGTCGGAAGTGGGGGGAGTTTCTTCGCTTTGTCATGTCACATTTAATTTTCAGCTTTGGCTGACTCACAGCTCACTGCGTCTTTCTCACTTACTCACTCTCCGACGATGACGGTCGCCCCACCATGACGGTTGCCCCATCACCACGGCAGTACTTCGTCAGAATCCAGTTGCAAGGGCAGGCATCGAACTCCATTTTGGTTTACTCACAAAACGATATTATCTGCCGAATCTCGCAATCAACAAAACCACCACAAATAACACAAGATGAAGATCGCCATTGCCTCCACCGCTTTCCTTGGACTTGCCTCCGCCTTTGCTCCTTCCGCAACAGTTGTTCGGCAATCAACCCAACTGTACTCTGGAAAGGATGAAGGTGAAATGTCAAAGGCCCTGCCATTTGTTCCCCGACCAAAAATGCTCGATGGAACTCTGGCCGGAGATGTTGGATTCGAGTGAGTTTTCCCCCTGTTGCGGAAGCCATGATGATTGCACAAAAAGGCTTGTTCTTTGCTAATGGAATCGATTCTTTTGTCTTCTTTTGTTTCAGCCCATTCAACTTCGCTGGAGAAGATATGTCCAACCTTTTGTGGATGCGAGAGGCCGAGGTGAAGGTATGTCTGCATGGTACTAGGATGTTACCGCGTTATCACTGGATTTGAGATTGATTTCTGACTCCGACCTTTTTTTATTCGCTTCAGCACTCTCGTCTGGCAATGCTTGCCGTGGTTGGCTGGCCCCTTGCTGAGCTCTGGGACAAGTCCATTGCCGATGCTGCGGGTTTGCCATCTCTCTTGACCACATCTGGTGCATCACCATCTCTTCTCAATGGAGGTTTGGCCAAGATTGATCCCGTTTACTGGTTTGCCGTGGCACTCCTTGCTGGTATTGTGGAGTTGTCGAATGCCGATGTTAAGGAAGCTGCGGGAGCCGACTACGCTCCTGGTGACTGTGGCTTTGACCCACTTGGACTCTTCCCTGCTGACAAAGAAGGTCAAAAGCAAATGCAAACCAAGGAATTGAAGCACGGTCGCATTGCCATGATGGCTGTCTTGGGATTTGTTGCCCAGGAAGCACTCTACCGAACCCCAGTGGTCAACGAGACCCCTTTCTTTTTCCACCCCTTGTTTTAAGCGGTCGATACCAACGAGGAAGGATTGTACATAGCAACCGAGAATGCGACGGAAAAGCACCTGAGCATACGAAACAACTTGAACCATTGAACATAGAATAAAGACTTGAACATAAAAGAAGCACTTTGAAATCAACTACAAAACTATTTGAGAGTAGTAAATATCTGCATACGCCATCTAGCTAGCTGATCGTGCCTGACAGAGAATACTACAAATGCATGGGGACACTCAAGGGAAAGCGAAATGCATTCTGAGGATCCACACGTCGTTTGATGTCAACGAGTCTCGGAAGGTTGTCCCCCCAATACACACGAGGGTAGTCTCTGGCCTCCATGGCCACCATTGGATAGTTCACAAAGGATCCTTGCAGGTATTGCTCGACCTTAGGCCACCACTGGTTGACCTTGTGAAAATGCTCCTGGAATACTGCTTCGGCATCCTCTGTATCAGCTGGTATCTGCAGAAGCACTCCCAAATTGAACACCGCATCTCGATGCGGGAAGGCTGTCTCATTCCACTTGGTCTCTTTTATCCTTCCTCCCCAGAATTCCACATCCGGCAACAGGTAGGGTCCTGACTCTTGTATCCCCTTGGCGATGTGTCTGTTGATATCTTTCCATATTTCTTCCGTGTTGTTTTCTGGTTTCAGAAAGCCATACCAGCAGCCCGCAGCCCATACCTGTTCTCCCCAGGTACCTTGGAAATCCTGCAGACTGTAGGAGTCGGACCAGTTTGAAACGGGGGCTTGTTTAATGTTGCGTGGTACACCTTCGGGATGAATCTCCTCAATCAACTGATCCAGGTAATCTTTCCCCGCCTCGACCTCCTCGTCAGTCCGTCCTGTGAAGAACATTGTCACAGACCCGACTAGATCATGCATGGCTACGATGTTTCCTGGCAATTCTGGTTCTTTTTGCCCCAACCTGTACAAGAAGGTTGCCATGTCATCCGGGTTGTCGAGGAACACTTCAGGTACATAGATTTGATTCGATGTCTTGTGGACGTAGTAGTCAATCTGCGTGACCACCCCAAAGCTCCCACCACCGGCACCCCGTAGGGCAAAGAACAAGTCTCGCGAAAGACTGTTTTCCTCGTCATTGTCATGGTCATCGTCATTGGATACATGGTGAGCTGTTCCATCTGCCAATACGATTCGAAATGCCTTGACATTGTCCGCTCCCAGTCCAAAGAGACGTGATTGCAGACCCAGTCCTCCGCCCATGATAAATCCAGCTTCGGCGACGGTACCACAGTATCCAATGACACCACCATATCCCTTTGGGATGAGCAATTCCGCGACAAATTGTTGCACCAGCACGGCGGGTCCCATGCGTGCCACGGCGGTGTTTTCATCCTCAATAGTATCGTCCAACAGCTCGAGTTGATGGAGACGCACCAAAGACACGACGGCCCCTTGTCCCGCAGTGGAATATCCTGCCTTGTTGTGTCCACCCGATCGAATGGAAAACGGAAAGTTGTACGTCTGTTGCAAGTCTACCAATACCGGTATGGTGAGTTGTACGTCGGCTTCATGGGCCACTTCAATGACCGCCCAGGGTGGATTGCTGACAATGTTGGAGATCCGCCACGCATGAGCGGCCCGATCAAAGTCGTGGCCATTATTATCATCGCTGGCAAAGTAAATGGACCCCTCAAGTTTGGTCTGTAGTTCTCGGAGTGTTTGGAGAATTTGGTCTTTTCTGGATTGTTCTTCTTGGGTAGAATCAGTATACATCATAGTGGGAAGAGTCGACTCGGAGAAGGTGATGCTGCTGTCAATGACTGTCTGATCAAGAGATTGTCTATCGATGGGCCTACCGGTATGCATAGTGGGTAAGAGAAAAGCAACAAAGGCCATCAGCAGAGCGACCCCAATGATTGCAATCACTCTCTTCCTCTTGTTGGAGTCACCATTGGATACGATATCATGATCATGATCATCACTCCTTGGCTTGAGCTCGGCACTCTTTTGATAGGAAGACGGATAGTGGTTGGCGTCCATGATGATGATGGAATCTCAAAGAGCCTTATTAACTAAACAATGAGCCAAATAAAACTCAAATAACACTCAAATAACCCAACCAAAAGCTTTGTTTCTGTATTCTGTCCCTTTTGCTCTCGTCGGCGATAGATAATGTACAATCCTCGGCGCCCCCAGCGGCCTGTCACTCGAAGATCCTCATGTCCTTCATTTTTGTTCTTCCAACAACAACTTGGATCTTTGAGTCCCGAAATGAGACCCGTATTCAGTCCTCAGAGGAAGCAAAATTTGCGAACGCTATCGAAATTCCATAGTGTTCTCGATGGCGTTGCACTGCCACCACCCATCATCATCCCCCAACATCCTTCTTTGGGTTGCCAACAAAAGGGTTGCCCATCACCCACGTCTCCACGATTGCAGTCACCCCAAACTATCTCTGCACGAATGCTGTAACACTACTAGTACTCTATCCTGCCTTCAGTCTGTGAAACCCACACATTCATACATGCTGAATGCTTTATCCTGTGTTGAATAGCTTGGCTTGTGCGTTTCTACTGTTGTTTCGAAACAATCCTTCCAAAGCAATATATATTAATACCCATCATCATAACACCAAGCGATATACCGTCACCACCGACACCATCCCACCCACAAGCAATACCCCACCACAGCACAACGAAACAAAACTACTAATCATGAGCAGTGAATTGGACGAAAGCAGTGTCACGGTACCAACCGAGATTTACAGCTTGGCCAACAACAGTAAACAACCCAATGGCACAACCAGTACCACCAACTTGACAACATTGACGAATGACAAGATTTTGGAGCGAGCCTTTGGGTCCCTGGCGTGTTCCGAAACAGTCCGGCTGGGATTGGACCACGACGAAGAACAACTGTTCGATACCCTCCTCAACACCACATTGGCCTATGAACGAGGAGAGATTTCCTTGGATGACGACAAAAGCAACAGCAATGACAAAGACGACAAAACAGAGTCGCTCCAAATCCGAGTGGCGGGTGGATGGGTGCGGGACAAAATTCTAGGATTGAGATCCCACGATGTCGATATCACTGTGGACAAAATGATGGGAGTTCAATTTGCCACTCTCATTCAAAAATATCTACTATCACTCCCTCTCTCGCACCCTGCACGGTGTCAATCCAAATATCCCAAAATGGGTGTCATTGCCGCCAATCCAGAACAGTCCAAACATCTAGAAACCGCCACCATGAAAGTACACAACATTGATATTGACGTGTGTCATTTGCGAGCCGAAGAAATATATCAGGAAAATTCCAGAATACCCACCGTGTCCATTGGGACGCCACTGCAAGATGCCCAACGACGAGATTTTACACTCAATGCCATGTTTTACAATTTGAAAACCAAACTGGTAGAAGACTGGACCCAACGAGGGATGCAAGATTTGCGACATCGACGATTGGTCACACCCTTGAATGCCGAAACAACCTTTCAGGATGATCCATTACGCGTCTTGCGGGCCATTCGCTTTGCGGTGCGTTATCAACTCGAGTTGGACGAAGGATTGAAAAAGGCTTGTATGTTGCCCATCATTCACAAGGCACTCCAAGTCAAAGTCAGTCGAGAACGAGTCGGAAAAGAACTCGAGGGTATGTTGTCGGGCAAGGGGGCCAATCCGCAAAAGGCACTGGAAACCATTGGACAATTGAAATTGGCCGGATGTGTCTTTTGCTTTCCCGCAGCCGGAGAAGTCATCAACAAGACACAGACATCGGCAGCGCACGGACAACTCATGGGACACGAGTACAATACTAAACCAGAGACGACGTCCATTCAGGAATTGGAACAGTTGCGAGAATTGGGGTGGGAAGAATCGCAACGGCTCTTGGCATTCTTACCGCCCTTGTACCAACTCGCGGAACAACAATTGCCTCCTACAACGTCGTTCATTGACAAACGATTGTTCCCGCTGGCCGTCTTTTTGTTGCCCTTTCGATTCTTAAAGTACGAAGAGAAAAAGACGGGCAACAGCAACAGTCTCCCAAAGGAATTTCCCCTCACAATGTTCATGTTTCGAGAATCCATCAAATTCAAAAACAAAGATGTCCAAAGCATTTCCGTCCTCATGGAGAATGTCAGCTCCATGGTCAAGTTCTTGACTGAGTTGGCAGAACAGCAACAGGTGGCGGGAGCAGAGCAAGCAGAGGATGCCTTGCAAGTGTGCCGATTAGAAGCAGGGTTGATCCTGCGAGCGACGAAAGAGTTGTGGGTCACAACACTCTTTTTGGCGGCATTGATCAAAATGCGGGAACAACAACAGCAGCAACAATCAAATACTGATGATGATGGCGCCACTACTGCAACTACTACGAAAGTGGACTGGTTGAAGCTCACTGCAGCGGCATACAAGACGATTCTGGAACTAAACTTGGAGGAATGTTGGAAGGCCAAGCCGTTGTTGAATGGCAAGGCAGTTGTGGAAGCTTTGAAACTGCCGCGAGGGCCCATCATTTCGACTTACTTGGAAGAACAGGCACGTTGGATGCTGCTAAACCCTGACGGCACCAAGGAGGAATGCGAAGCTCACCTGCATTCCGTCAAGCGACAGCGAGATGCGGACGCCAGTGATGATGGCGGTGGCGGCAATCCTCGTGGACAGCATCCACGGCTCAAGTAGGTTGTGCGAAACGGAAAGTAGCTACCGTAGTCAACGTTCCTTCTCCGATGCTGGACTACGGCTACGTACAATTCTAGGAAACCGCCTAAGAATCAAATACAAATGAAAATGTTTTGCTAAAAAGCTCTGGCTCTTTAGGTGGTACTAGTAGTCTAATCGTACATGATCAGGCCTGGCATGCTGGTTCGATCTGTGAATCTTTCCCACAAGGCCGAATGCTATTGGGAGGATCACCGCCCTCATCTCTGGCTGGGTCTTCTGAAGCTACTGTACAACCACATGCTGACTGCATGAGAGCCCTGCCAAGAGCTCACGCAATCCATCTGGTTACGGTACGATGTAGCCTTGCTGGGCGAGGATGAGCCCTGTGTACCGTACCTAATGGACCGGGTGGCGGCGAGATGACACCGGTATGATTCAAAAGTGGATGAAGACAACTATTAAAATAGCTAGCTAGCTATTATCGGCAATACCTACCGTAGCTAACTCCTATCGCCCCACGGGTTGGCTTTGTCCTTGGCAGCCGTGGTTATTGAAACAGCTGGTGGTGTGTCGTTTGCATCATCATGAAAGATCCTTTGGAAAGATACGGCGGAGTATCGGACGGTCTGTCCCTCCTTCCTCGCCACCGCCCTTTATTTCACGGGGGCGAACAAAGCGAACGAAATTCGCTGTCCAGTAGATCGTGCCGTTCATCGATCTGAACCTGCAATAACACAACCATAAGACACTTGAGAACCAAGGTTCCATTGACGGATAGATGACCAGCAATCAGCAAGCAAAGCGACTAGCTATTAGCACTTCGTCTTCTCTTGGGTGTGTTGGATGTTGCTTGGAGTTACGATACGATCAGTGACACGTGGTAGTCTTGTAGTTATTTGAATTGTATTCGATGAGATCCAAAAGAGGACCTTAAAAATCACATAACACAGCAGCATTCCTCTACCGTACCAATAAATAATGGCAACAACAGCCAAAGATCCTGACATGCTGCAGGCCGACGATCAGTTAAAAAGATCGGAAGGAGAGCAGCGCCAAGAAGAAGACGAAAAGGAAATGATTTCGTCGACCCACACGTTAGTAGCATCCAAGTGGGAAGACGAGATGGCGTCCCGTCCCATTTTGGTGGGCTACGCCTTTGGTCCCAAGAAGATGAGTACCATGGGAGTGGTCATGGCCGAAGCTTCCAAAACGCACTTGTCGTCCGTGTCAACGACAGTCTTGGTGGAAGAAGACGAAGAAGACGAACTGGCGCAGGACGACAATGATGACGAGCAAGAAGAGACACAGCAGCAACAACAACAACAACCCACACAGCAATCAGAAGACGCGACCAACACTGCTACTACAAGTGCTTCTGGTACATGCATTTCTGCAACCAGCACAACACGCCTTTCGCCTCGTCGCGCAGAGAAATGCAAAGGCAACATTATGATGAGTCTGGGTTCTTACAATGGCGGTCTTCAGAATATCGTTCGCTATTTGCACTCTTCGTGTTCCTCGGTAGACACCAACTCGACAACCACCACTATGTTAACCACGGGTACAACTGGTGTGGCTCTGTCCACGGGGAGTACGTGCGGGGGAACCTTGGCGTCCCTCACCACGCAGCATCAAAGACTGCGGGTTTCCTTTGTCCCACTCGATCCGGATTTACCACTCGAAGGACAACACGGCGCCAAAATGGATATCGTGCTGCACAAGCTCACGGAAGACATCCTCTGCTTGTCCAAATATGCTCCACTATATCCCGATCTTGTCCCGAGTTTGGGAGAAGTCAACAGCGACAATTGCAACAAGCTACAAGAAACACTCCAGCAGATTCATGCCAGAGACGCACAAGCCGCCATTCTCAGAGTACACCGACTCATGCAGTACCAAAAGAAACACCCCGATTGTTGCTTGACGGATGATCCGGCCAAAGTATTGACGCTCATGTCACGATCGGATATTGCCAATGCACTACAACAATGTCTCGTAGGAGTACAGAGCAAAAGTGGCATTCCAGTCGCATCTCCACGCTTTTTAGTCTGGGATCCCAATAATATTGCCAATTCCAACAAACAGCAACAACAACCATCGATCGCCGAATCGTTGCAAAATGCCAATTTGTCCTATCCGCTCATTGCCAAACCGCTACAAGCCGCTGGAACCAAAATCAGTCATTACATGACAGTCTTGTTGCACCAATCATCCTTGGAACACATTCAAGAGTCCACCTGTCTCTTGCAAGAGTACGCCAATCATGATGCTGTCCTATACAAAGTATACGTCTTGGGAAACAATGTACGAGTCTATCAACGACCCAGTTTGCCCAACTTGCCACCGCTGTTCGACGGACGAACTACAACAAGTACTGGTAGTCCCAGTTATGTCGATTTTGATTCCCAACGACCCTACCCGCGGTTGTCGGCATTTGGAGTGCCAGAAGGTGCGACAGCCTCATCATCACAATCACAACAACAACAACAACAACAACAACAACAGCGGGTAGCAGTCACGGACGAAGAGGTGCAACCCATCGTCGACAAACTCAAACAAGCATTTGGATTGGAGCTCTTTGGATTTGACATTTTGATCACGACGACGAATGACAATGACAATAACGGTGCCAACAACAATAACAAAAAGATGCTTGTAGTTGACGGTGCGTACAACAATACAAGAAAGAAAACATGTTGCTGGATCCTGCAACGTTTGATATCATTCATGTGGCTCACTTTGTTGTTTCTCTCTTCTCTCGCCCCCTCAGTCAACTACTTTCCATCGTACAAGGAAATGCAGAATTTTCCTTCCTTGCTGGCGCAGTATTTGACGCAGAGAGCCATTGATAGTCGAAGAAAGCAACCGCCATTGCAGTCGCCAAACGATGCTCACGCTGGATGTTTGTCGTAATATATATAGCAAGGGAGCAGTGCGGTTGGTGCTTGGCTGGCTGCGAGAAACACCTTTAGATACATACAGTGTATGAGTTAATAATAACCAGAATTTCAATAGACTTTATTCAATACGTATTCAAGTTAATCATGAGGCCCTTTTATTCTAAACTAGATGTATGCAATATGAAGTACATGGTGGAAACCCCAACAAACCCCTCGGCAAAAACTTCAGCAGAAGATGTCTACGGTCGAAGCAGGGTTGGGTGTGGATCGTTCGTGAGCACGACGCCGGGGAAAGATCTGATTGTCTGCCCAGTGCTCTCCTTGGGCTTCGAAATTCTTGAGGTTCACCGCAACAGTGTCCAGAAGACGGGTTGAGGTGGGCAGAATCGTCTCACATTGCTCCACAAGCGGAATCACTTCGCCCTTGACAAACAAAACGCAGTGTTCGTGCCAGTTGCCGTTTGGATCACTCCCGCGCTTTGCCAAGCTAGCAACACGCTTTTCGGCAAAGGCGGCTTCATTCCATTCCTGGAACTTCTCGTTGTCCAACGCGAAATGTCCCAGGTTGGCAACCCTCAGTACGAGTGCCATGGCTGCTTCTGTCTTGGCTGCGACTTCTCGGGGCGAGTTCTCTGTGGGGCGCATTGCCTTGGAAAAGGTACCGGAGACATCGTTGGAAAGTGCTGTTCTCCTGAGAAGATGCACGAAGCGAGGGCATCCCCACACGATTTCGTCGTAGAGTTCTGGGAACTCGTCGGCAAACACATCCAAGCCATGATTGAGGGCGTGCTTGGCCTGGCATTTGTCTCCGCCGTGCATTTCAAACACCATGTGCTTCTCAGCCTGCAGTTGGCCATCGGCTACGCCAGAATGCTTGCAGTCTTGAACCAGAGCCGCGATAGCAAGCGTGAAACGGAACCAAGGACTATTGTCCACTGTACCTGACATACCCGCTCCGCTGTCTTGGACCCGTTCGAAGAGGTGGGTTGCCCAAGCCACAACATGGGCAGCGCGGCGGAAGTTGTGGTAGGGATTATGCTTCTTGAAGCTCTTCGACAATCGATCGATCAGACCGTACAGCTGGCCGTCGAGAAGATCCAAATTGTTGGGGAATTGGCCAGTCGTTGAGTCGAATAGGCACAGGTTGAGCAACGGCGACAGCAAGAGGTGAATGTTCGACACGAAGTCCTCTCGGCTGAGCGTTTTATCCCAGACCAGATTCAACAAACCGTTCTCGACGTCTGCAGCAGGGTCATAACAGTCTTCCAGCATGTCATCCAGCTCTCCAGCGTCCCTAGAGTCGGACGCTTCAGATGCGAGATTCACTTCAGCTTCCGATTCTCCTCCGGCAATCGAGTCATCATCATCGGTACCAGTCCATGTCACCTGGGAGCGTTCTCCTTGATCCGATTCTTCGCTCACGGACGACGTAGTGAGGAAAGTATTGTGACTGCCGACAGACTGCGTCTCTGAATCCCCACGAAGTTCACCAGAACGACGGAAGTAGCGTCGCATCTTCCAACTCTTCTTCTCAAGCATTTCGCTCACGTCATTGGAAAGAGCTTGCAATGCAGCTGGGCCGGCACGCTCATTGTTGGCCGTTCCACCCTCCAACCAATAAGTGCAACACTCTTTCTTGCCCTTCATGCTAACCAACCCACGTGGAGTCAGCTCGAACTGTTCCTGTTCGTACATGGAAAAGTGCTTAAGGCGCCCGAATAGGTCTGAAGAGCATTGGATCATTCCCGGCAATCCGGTTTGCTCATGACGCGCTGGGAGATCAATGAAAGAAAACGATATGTGAGCGGAATGCGTCCACCATGATGCTGAAGTGCTGGATGTGACCCTCGCAAGGTTTCTCGTACCTGTGGTATTGACCATGTCGCCAAAGAGGCAGTAATGAGGGGTCAGTGTCCCCACCACTCCAGCAGTACAGTGACCGGTGTGAATGCCAATCCTCAGCTGAATAGGAGTGCCATCCACAGGGGATTGTACATGCTTGACACACTCCATGACGGCAATCGCAAAGTTGGCAATGTTTTCAGCATGATACTTGTCAGGAACGGGAAGCCCAGAGCAGCACACTGGAAAAGGTACAAGCAACGAAGAGCAAAGGTGTTAGCCAATGGAATCGAATCAAAACATCCACACTTTCAAGGTCTCGTTTTGACAACGTACTGTATGCGTCTCCCACGGTTTCGATCTTGTACAAGTTGAAATGCTCCGCCAGCTTGTCCATGACAGAGTACAACTGATTGAGCATGTCAATCACTGCCCAAGGATCAACCTTTTCGCAAATGGACGTGAAGTTCACAATATCGGAGAAGAAGAGTGTCACATCATCATGGTGCTGAGGTTCCACTGTTTTGCCATTTCGCAGCTCGTCCGCAATGGTCTTGGGCAACATGTTATAGAGGAGCGTGTTGGAGAGGTTCTTTTCGTTTTCCAACTTCTTGCTGAGCTTGTCCAACTTGTGAGCCTTATCAACCTCTTGGACAATGTATTCGCCGAGAAAGACGGAATCTCGTTGACCACCATGAAGGGGGAGGTCGGTCAATGTGAGACCCATGTTGCGGAGATCCACAATGTTGCGCGCATCCGGGTTGAGTGCGAACATGACCATGCCTTGTGCAATCTCAATCATGGAAGCCTTGAACTTGATATTGGAATCCTCCATCGAGACACGCTTCTTGAGGGCTCCCGAGGTGCAGGGAGCCAGGAAGAAGTGCTGATCACTGAGCTTCTTCAAGCTCTGCCAGTCCCAGGCACTCCCCAGCACGGGACGGGTGATATCGAGGACTTTTCCAATGTGCTTGCCATTGAAGAAGTCTTGCGTTTGATTCATGAGAGCTGGTAAACTCTGCCCTACTTGGAGGATGGTGAACTCTTTATCCACAAGGACATGGAAGGGGAAGACTGATTGGAGCTTGCCAAGAGACAGACCAGTTGCGGACGTGTTTCCCCCTGTGGAGGTGGAGAGGATGGAGGAAGTACTTCCCGTTTCTTCACTGTGGTCTTTGTTGGCCGAATAGGGGCACTTGCTTGCAGCAGGATGAGGACCGGGTGCTGAGAGATCTTTCCCCGAGAATGGGCACTGGCTGGGCAGCTCCATCTTGCTAAAGTCAACTGTAGAACTTTCCCGTCTTGCGGCAGAGACTTCAGCACTTCGAGGAGACAGCTTGTATCTTTGCTCGGGGTCCACAGCTGTGATTCGCCAAGATGTAAACTCCGCCCCCTCTTCCCCTTGAAGCCCCAACTGAGTCATGGTGACTTCACAGTCGAATTGGTAGGACGCCAGCTCCGAAATGATACCCACAACCATGGGGACCAGCAGAATACCTCTGAGGCTGAAGTAGTGCAATAGAATAGACCCCTCAACTTCCTCGCAATCTTCACACCAGAAGATGGGTGCTTGGAACTGTGTTCCCGGAAAGGACTTTTGGATGTGGTCGTGCATGGCGTTGAGGTTGGACAGCCACTTTCGCAGTGTGGTGCCCTGTGCGCGCATCAGATCATTGTACCCATTCAAATAGTGATGCCGAACAACAAAGTGGCCAAAGACTTGGAGAATATCCGGCACTGCAACTCCCAAAATCTCAGAGGCAGCGACGATAATGTCCACCAGCTCATTGTCAGGATAATAGCTGCGACGCAGGAAGCCCCCATCTCTAACCCGGCATTTGGCTTTGTTCTTAATCTCATGCCATACTTCGAGACCCTGCTTCTCAATGACAAACTCTTCAACGATTTCAAACACTAGACCGTACATGGTGGCTTTGATTCGATTCAGTTAGTTGTTCAGCTCGAGATGGATTGATAACAACGAAAATGTCAGATTTCCTTTCACAATGAACAGCCTGAAGCCTTGGATTTTGATTTTTTGTGAGAGGTAGGTCCGAAATCTGAAGACGAGCTGTCAACGGCTTGTCGTCTGCCAAGTCGGTGAAAATTATCGGGTGGGGACCTGGCGCAATCTTATTACAAGAACTAACAGGATAATCGGTAGCAGTGTGGCAGTGTTGCTGCCGGTACATAAAACGGACGTTTCCACTCCAGAACCGCTGTTGTTTCCGCGGTTAGCCCTTCACTTTCACACACAGCAACTGATCAACTGGCATTGCCAGGACTTATGATCAAAATAAAAAGTAATCGGAACATGTTTCGGGTCTTAGGCTGAAAAGCATGTTATCCCATGGTGGAGTGGATAAAATGATCATTCCAGTGCAGTCATCTTTGGTCTTTGGTAGCTTCCATCATTCAGCAATCATTGCGAAATAAACTGACAAGGATAGCAATGCTCTGATCCCTCTTTCATGATCAACAGGTGCACCATCGCTCAGAAAATGGCGATGCATACCTTACTGGTACAAGGTCCTCTCTACAAATGCAGCAAAACCTATATTCCAGACTGAAGCAGTATGGCCATACTGAAGAAATCTGGTCTTTGTGGTACTACCGGTACGTACCGTACATATACCGTTAGGTGTGAGATGACCATCAGCACTGCAAGGTACTCGTACATCGTACCGGTCAGCTAACTCTGAGGTTTGGTAGTGCATGTGTTGATCTCTGCTTTCTAAAAATCGAAGTCAGCAATTTTCAAAGCCACGTTAAACCTTCATCAACAATTCTACAAAGAGGTCATCTGCAAGCCAATGAAAAAGAAGGCTGCAGAATCGCATTGGAGCATTGGAGCAATCCAAATTATAGAAAGTGTCTCTGCCTGTCTGCTCGAGCTTTTCTTGTATGCAACCCATGACTGCGTGCAGGATTGGCTTCCCTCCGCCTCTCGTAGCTCCGTATCATTACAGCAGCTCGGGCAACTGCCCTAGGGTCACCTAGGAACTAATAGTCATAGTGTGAGCATTTCAGTAAACTGGTAGAAACCATACGAGTAAACTTAGACTACATGTACGAGTACAAAGCTACTCCGAGTACATGTATGTACTGAGTACTCAGTATAATTGTCGCGCTTGAAAGAATGACTCCATAAATCTTCTTTTCTACTCAAAGTGGGTCTTACAAGGAATTGTTTGTACAGTCTTTTCTGAGCGATTTAAAGAGCTTTGTCATCAAGACATGGAATCTTTTGACGCGTCGTGCTTCAAAAGTCAGTGACACAAATCAATAATTCCTCCCTTTGCTCTGTTCTCATCAGCTCCCCACTCCCCACCATCTTCGTTCCTGGAGCTCCTGAGAAAAACGTTACTCAGTACTGAGTCCTAAGTAACCAGCAAGAGCTCCAGCAAGCCAGCTGAAGCGCTGAAGCCTACGCCTCACCACGATTGCCTTCAACCTTCAACAGCTCTTCAACGCGTCAATATATTTATTTGGTAAGAAGCCTTCTTCCGGTCAACCCCTGCAACCCTCCAACCTTCAATCAGTCAATCAGACAGATCTTTCATCAAACATCCGAAGCTTCCAATCCATTGCTGTAAACCTTCCCCACCTGGGTGGTGGGCGTCTTGAACTCAGTTTCTTCGGAATGGCGCACGCAGGAAACAGAAGTGACACCGGTATGAAGAAAGGCGACGACACATACATTACATTGCGAAAGAGGGATAAACCAGCAAGACACGGTCCACTGAGTGCCACTGGTACCGGTACCTTCAGGAGGACCTCCTCAATCCTCGCTCTCTAAAAACTACCTACAGGTACCGGTACCGGTTGCTAGCTTTCTACCGGTTGCTAGCTAGATAAGAGCCAGGGCTACGTACCGCCAGAACACTCTTTCCTCCAGAGGTAGACTAGTACGGGGCTGCCACCAAAGCATTATCTCTTCCTTATACTATAAGGAAGAGAGTAGTCCTTGGTTGCAGGGCCCTACTACCAGCACACATTGAGATCTAAGGGGCGCTTGCAGCCGAATCCAAAAAGTCGACATCGCTTCCGACCGGTTGCCAAACTCAACAGGTGGAGGAAATATCACCACAGAACCAGCGATGAACCTGTCGGCAGTACTATTAGCTAGAGCTCTTGCTATGTCAAAGGTGTGTTGGATGACACTGACAACGTTTCCAGGACGCCTTTAGCATCAGCGAACGCTCGCGATAGCACCGTGTAAAAGAGTGGATTATTTTAACAGCTTTTAGCTGGCTTAAAAACCTGGACGGAACCACCTTATTTTAAAAAAAAGGTAGATGGCGTAGATTTCGCAAAAACAGTAAATTGCGGGTTTCGGCTTGTGGTTCGACCTTGGTCACAGACAGGGCCGCACCTCGCCAAAGCGGAGAGAAACGGCTATCAGGGCCGGCTGCCATCATCCACGCCCACTCTATTAAATAATTGATTTGAATTCAGCCTCATAATTCGCGCGTTAACAGCGAAATGGTTGAAAGATTATCAAATTGTGAGCTTACTTTAGAGCGCTATTTTGTCTATTTGATCTCCAAATGCTGTTTATTGCAGTTGGTCTGTTGCCTTGCTATTAACCCAAAGCCAGGCTTGTGCACTGCCTTGCATGCTGTTTCACTTAGATGATTGTGCAGGGTGAGCTATACCCTCTATAATCTCACATGCCCTCGAATGCTTGGCAGGTAACAATAGTTCTTCAGCTGTGAGAAACTCGGCATCCCACTGCATGATGCCTTCACGCTGAGCCTCGAATAGTTGTCGTGGTTGTGGTTTCGTCAATAGATCAGTAAGCTGATGCTCACTGGTCACCTTGTGGATTGATATCTTCCCGGCACGAACGTGCTCTCGGAAGTGATGATACTTGACATTGATGTGCTTAGTCCTCGCACGCATCTTTGGAAGTCTCACCATCTCTAATGCTCCAGAGTTGTCTTCCCAAACTTTGCAGTGTACCTTGGGTGCTGTATGCTTCATCGCCCAGCCTATCCTCTTGGAATCCTCCAATAGCTCCATCAGATTTATCACTAATCGTAGGCTCTCGGATGCTGCCATATACTCAGCTTCCGTTGTTGACAATGCCACTTCTCGTTGTAGCTTCGATCCCCACACCACTGGACCGCATCCGTACATGACGACATACCCAGTTCGAGACTTAGCCGTGCTTGGATCCACTGCTGCATCTAGTTTGTTCCAATTGCCTACAAAATCAGCGTCAACCCAGCAATCGAAAGAGTGGTTTCTTGGATTCAATATGATGCCTCTCTTTTGGTTATTCACCAAATATCTTCCGATGTACTTGATGGCTTGTGCATGTGATTCCTTAGGATCATTTGAGAACCTTGCGCACTGGTGCACCGAGTATCCAATGTCCAGTCGCATCGACTTTTCTAGAAAGTTCAACTTGCCAATGACAGCTCTGTAGTGCCACTTTTCGTCATACGGCTTTCCGTGGATGTCTCTGCTGAGTCGTTGGCTCGATGGGGCAGGCGTTGGCTTGCCTTTCGTTCTATTCGTTGCTCCTGCCGCGTCGTCCAAGAATCCTAAATCCTTCAGTATGCCCGTGATTAGGTGCGGTTGCGACAGCTTGATTGTCCCGTTTGGCAGTGGCTCTATCTTCACGCCAAGATAGTCACTCAGATTTCCTTCGTCCGTCACGTTGTATCCTCTGTGCTTTTGCCCACTTGCATCGGTGAATTCCTTTGACAGTAGATTGTAGCATTCTTGGATCTCATCTTGCGATGGTCCAATGAAGATCCCATCGTCCACGTAAATCATTAGCGCAACGGATCCTCTATAGTAGACGCACATGTCAACGTCGCTCTGTACAAATCCTCTGGTGACTAAACCGTCGTGCAGGAACCTGTTCCACACTCTTCCAGCTTGCTTTTGCCCATACAAGTTGCGGTTGAGCTGCAGTACATGGCTCTTCCTGTCGCCATCAAACTCGAATCCGACTGGAATCTGCATGTACATGTCGCACTCTATTTCGGCTTGTGAACATGCCAGAACAAAATCGACTTGCTTAGAGTGCCATTTGTTGAGTATCATCAGAATCAAGAACAATCGTATCGTGGGCCATCCCACAACTGGCGAATAGGTTTCCCAGTAGTTGATTCCGAGCTTCTGTTTTCCGCCATGGACGTTGATCCTGGCTTTCTATTTGTATATCTCGTTCGTCGCAATCTTTCGCTTGCGTCTGAATGCCCAAACTGCGGGAAGGATGTCCGTTCCCTTTGGCATTTCGCTCTTGCTCACCACGGTCCAATGATTGTTGTCCGTGTGCGAATCGATTTCCTTCTTCATGGCTTTAAAGAATTCATCCTTGTCATGTGCCGACATCGCTTGGTCGAAGTACATGATATCTGGATTGGACGATGCCGCGAACGTGACTAGGTTTGTTGCCTCGTTGTACGACATCACGTCTTTGTTGATTGTTTCGAAATACTGCAGCGGGTTCTGCATATTGTCCTGCAGATTCAGCGAGTCATCGTGGAACACGTCCCAGGGAACGTAGAATGCTTTCATCGTCCCTTGCTTGATCGACTGCCTCATTATCTCGGTCGGTCGACGACTCCTTTGCGACCTACGTAGCTGCGGCCCAATTGTAGGCGGAACTTCACGCTCTCCGACGTCGTTAACAGGTTCTGCCGATCCGTCATTGTCATCGTGTAAATGATGTTGGCTCTCGTTTCGTCCAATAGCAATGCCAAAATCCTCTGCGAGTATTCGCGCAGCTTGCTGGCTTGTTTCTGGTTGCACATCCTGCATTTGATTCGCGGCCTCTGAATCCACGATTTGATCGTGCTCTTGTAATCCATCGGTGCCGGTTCCATATTCCTGTTGTTGCCGCTTCGATGCTTGGAAATCCAGTTTGTCGATGCTCTCCTCTTGTGCTTTGTCGAACCCAGTCCTTTGTTGCCACAAGGATATCGTTCTCGGATTACCAGCTGATCTCCTTCTCGTCTCGAACAGGTCATCTAACTGGCAGTGAAACTGCGGTGACACATGTCCTGTTGTTAGGCTGAGGACTAGCGCAACTTTTTGCGAATGCCTTACCGAGTGTCCTAAATAAAGGCCAATACGCGCTCGGTTCTTCCACTTTGGAACCGATTTTCCTGCCTGTAATCTCTCGTGGAGAATGTACACTGGGCATCCGAACGTGTGTCGGTCCTTCAGCTTCGGTTCTACTTCCACCCCTGAGAACAGCTCGATCGGGGATGACTCCCGACCTCTCATTGGTGCTTCATTTCTCATGTCATTTGCCATGCGAATTGCAAATGGCCACAGATTTGCGTCTATGGCTTCCGACCATCTCTGCTTAGCGTGCAATAGCATCGTTCTAGTGGACTCTTGCAGGTCCCTGATGCATCGTTCTGCTTTACCGTTTTGATGATGGGCATTGACTGCGCAAAATGAGATGGTTTGCCCAGACACTTGCACGTGCATCATGAACTCCTTACTCGCGAATATTCCATTATCCGCATGGTAGTGCCTGAAAGTCACACCGTGCGACCTCACGTATCTTTCAAAGGCTTCTTTTGCTTTGATGGTATGCCCTGCTCCAGTTGACAGTTGATTGTGGACATAGGATAGTCCGCTGTAATGGTCCACAAACACGGTCGTGACCAGGTATCTCTTGCGGGTGATGAATCCCCTCATTTGTCCTATAAGCCCTGGTATCGATGAGATCAGTTGATCCATCGCTACCACTGCTCCTGGTGAGTCAGGGATAGGTGTGGAGAATGAGTTGATTGGTGCCTTCGTTCTCCATGCCTTCCTGGTTGCCTTTCCGAACATGCATGCGCTGCATCTAGGCACCTTGCACTTGAGTATGGCCGCCGGCAACTGACCTCTCCTTGCTAGTGCTTGCATCTTCTCAGGCAACAAGTGCGCGTGCTTGTAGTGAAGCGCAAGGAATTGAGCTTGTGGGGTTTGTTGCTGGACTTCCTCATCCTCTGGCACAACACTGTAGATTGGTCGAGCTGGATTGGTATTTGCATTATTGCGGAATTCATCGTCGTGTTCGAGCTCATCAAAGAGAACATCCGGCAGGTCCGGGGGTCGTCTTTCTCTGATGCTTTCACTAGCTTCTGAGATGTCATCGTCCGCGAGCTCCTCGTCGTCTGACACTAGTTGCGCCGCCGGCATCGACATTAGTTCTGTTTCGTCCAGGATTCTGCACTCGTCGGTGTCCGATATGGCCGTGCAGAATGCATTAAATCGATCATATGACGGCTTTGATCTTATGAGCGCTATATTCGTTGCTCCGTCAAGTATCACTGTCTTGACATATCGACAGTCCTGCCAGAACCGCTTAACAGCGTCATGGTACGTGATGCATACTGTTCCATTTCCCTCTTGACGGGCTTGTGCCCAATGCTGTGGTGACAGCAACCTGTATGGCGAGTGCTCGTGATAGTAGGTGTCGGGTATGATCCATGAGTGCGACACTCTTGTGTCGTCTTGTATCTCCCACTTGACTGTGCCCTTGTATGTCGCTGATCCTGCTCCACCAATTCCTGTCACTTTGACGTCCACTCTGACTGGAGGGTAGATGAAGTCCGTCATTGCGTTGGTCATGCATCTTGATGAGCAGTTGTCTAGTACTGCGATCACGAACGAGTCCGAATCGTATCTGTGCCCTGATGCTCTCGGTGACTTTCCTGCTGCCTGCTGTTGCCGTGAGCGACTCAATTATCGTTTGCAATGCGAGTGGCTGTTCCTCCCCGTGTGCTGTAGCTAGCAGGTTGACACCTACCAGGACACCGATGAACGGAATCTTCATTAGTGTCCAGAATTTGCTTCGTCTTCTATCTTTGCTCGTTGCTTTGGCAGTTGCTCTTGCACATGCTCTGTTGTCGGCTAATCGTTTGTTGATCCAACTCTTCGTTGCCTTTGCTCTTGCTCTGTAGTGCTCGGTTCGCTCTGTCGTGCACACGACAATGCGTCTTGGTGCCTCCTTTGCTCCGTGGAGGACTTTCTTCAATCTTGCCTTCAGTCTATGCCTCTTAGGCACGTATTCCGGCTTCTCGTGACACGATATCAGCCATGTCCATGCTCCACGTACCAGCATACTCGATAGTATCACTGGTAGCACAAAATCCATGTCGGCGATTAGCCATGCCATTATTTGGAACGTCGCCTGAATTGCAACAATTCCATAATCGACTTAGTCACGTGATTCAATCTAAAGGGGTTCTGATCTCTCGTCAACCTCAGCACATTCGTTGATGTGTAATGAAGCGCCATTATGAGTAGGGTTGGAAATGGGATTACGTTACTATGGGTGTTTAACAAAGAATACTGTAATGTCGTTCATCCTGCGATGAGCTTTGCCACCAGCATTAGTGCTATCATTGCACAAAAGCCATGTGGTTGCTCTTTATCCTTCGCGGATGGTCCGTGCACTTCTCACTTTTGACCGGGAGTCAATAGGTTCTCATCCTCAGTAATGCCGGATAGTTCCTCTTCCAGAACTGATGTGAGTGCCTGTGCAATCCTGATGCCTCGTTTTGACGGGGTACCCGCGTCGCTTGAGTGCGAATCGCTTTCATCCTCGGTGGCCGCCGTAAGCAACGTCGTTGTATCGCCCTTGAGCCTTGCCCTGCAGTTAGTCGCATGGACTACTCCTTGCCTGTTCACTTTCAATACCCACTTTGTATCGCCATGATGCGGGCAGTAGATGTATTGCTTGTTGCGGAACTTCTTCTCTTGTGGTTCCCCTTCCTTTGGGGCGACTGACTTCCAAGCCCATTCTCCGACGTTGTTGGGTCCTTGTCTCTCCTTTTGCTGGTGCTGTCTCGCTCTTTGCATCAGTTTTTGAGTGAGTTGCTTGTTCTGTTGGTCTACAGTGGCCTTCAGTGCAATGAACTTGAGTTCGTCTTCGGACTTCATCTTCCATTCCTTCTTGTCTACTATAATCTTGTATCGTTCGCCTGCCATTCGAATCAATGCTGTGTGTTCTAATGGCTCCGTAAGCGATCTATCCTCATACTGTTCTTGCTTCCTTTTAAAATAGTGCGCAAATGCCTTGTCTTCACATGACTGATAAGCCTTGAACAGTGGGGCGATGAGACTCGGAATCGCCTCTTGCCTTGCCCTTAAAGATATGATAAGGGAGTTCACTTTCCTATTAAATATTTTAATGTATGAATCAGCGTCTGTCATCGCTTGAACTAGTCTTGCGACTGAGAGTAGCTCCATGATGGTGGATACCGTTGCTAGGGTGTCGACACAAACCATGCAAACCAGCTGATACAACATCATTGGCCTGTCTTGCCTGCTGACTTGCGCAGTCATCCCATCCGGAGTTACTTTCACCGTGTATTTGTCTTCTCGTTGCTCCAGCTCGTCGAATACATCTTGTTCGATGCTGTTGGCAATGAGTGTTTCCAACATCTTGGCTGCTTGCCGCTTTCTATTATCTTCCTTCTGATAAATCTCAGCATGAGCTTTCATTTGCTCTTGAGTTATCGATCCGTACTCAGTGAGAATGGATCTCGTTTTGTTGCCTCCGATGCCGATGCTTCCAATTACGGACATCATGCCGTAGGTCGTCGCTCGCTTCTTAACGAGCCCTAGGAAGTGGTGTAGCTTTTTGATTGTACCATCGAAAAGGGTATCTGGCGCTTTAGTTGCTTGTGCAAAATATTTCATTCCTTTGTCGGATGTGAGGTCCCATGTTTTGGTCTGATCTCCTCCTCCTGGGACGACGCTAAAAGTAGGGGCTGTTGCTGGATTAACTTGAGACAATGCCGCTTGCATTGCTTCTCGCATAATCGCCTTAAGTTCTGCTTGTGTGATGGTGAGTGCTGCTGCCATCGTTGGTTGTGGAGTCGGTGCTGCTATCACTGCTTCGTATCGCTGCCTTCTCCGTTCTTGCTCTTGGTTCCGACGTTGTAGTCTGTTGGCTCGGTCAAGAGTTGCTCTTCTTGCCTGTTCAGCCTGTCGGTTACTTCTTTCGTTATCTATCTTGCTTAATATTCACTAGCTACTAGTGAATCTGATGACAATTTGGTTGCTCGTTAGTCAACCTCCGCATGCTACCATGAAAGATTATCAAATTGTGAGCTTACTTTAGAGCGCTATTTTGTCTATTTGATCTCCAAATGCTGTTTATTGCAGTTGGTCTGTTGCCTTGCTATTAACCCAAAGCCAGGCTTGTGCACTGCCTTGCATGCTGTTTCACTTAGATGATTGTGCAGGGTGAGCTATACCCTCTATAATCTCACAAATGGTGCTCGAAGAGGACGATGAGTCCATCACAACCATCTCCACAGCTGCCTCCAGCACTGCTGCGGAGCTGGAGTTAGTTGTTTGGCTGCTCGACGGGGAAGAGGCCATCGCGGTCCAAGCGACAGAAGAAACCATGGGCGAAATGGAGGGATTACAGGGTATAATGCAGGCCCATACCAACACGGAAATGCATACAAAAGGTGACGTCGCCCATGATCGATGTAAGTCATGAATGTATTTTGTGCCAGGGCCAAGGAAAAGTCACTCTAATGCTCTCTTGTTAGATCATTTGAATGCTGCAGAACTCAAGGAGTTTCAGAAGTTGTTGGAAGAACTTCGTGGTGCATTCAATCGGCAGGAGATGTTCTCCTGGGCGCTTTCCTTCTGCTCCCCCTTGAGCTCTGAAGAAAAGAAAAGTGCGACAATTCTTCGATAGCTTCTACATGAGCGCCGCGTGTCGCTGGCAGCCTTGTTTCTTGATCATCGCAGCACCTATTCCGTTGAGACGACATATCACGACGACGATGACAAGAAGGACTGGGCTAAGGAAAACCTAACTAAAGCTCTTCAGGAAGGTACACGAGGACTACATGCGTGACATGTATTAAGCAAGAAGCGCCATTGTGTATCAGTTTTAATGAGTGAGTCTATTTTGAATGGCAGTGAGCCACCTTAGCTATAAGCCTGCAGGCTGTCTATGTATCGATCCGAACGCTAACACCCCCCTGGATTGCATACCGTTAGACAGGCGTGCGTGGGGCCATGAGGCAGGCGCGGAGATCAAAGAAATGTTGCTTATCCTTCATTTCCTTGGTGAATAGATCCGAAGGATTGAGAACACCGGGGATGTGATGGAGCGAGATTTCCCCAAGGCGTAGGGAATCGCGCACGGCCACCTCTCGGAGATTGTGGTGGCGGAGGCGTTTGGTGACAGCCTCGGACTGTGCCCAGGAAATACCCCCCTGGTTATCACAGAACATGACGTGAGTGGGTTCGGCAAGATGGGAGACGCCGAGATCTTCAAAAAGGTGACGGAGAGCCAGAACCATTTTGACTCCTTCGTCCATAGCCTTGATTTCGGATTCGCAAACACTGCGGCTAACGCGTTTCTCCCGCGTGCTGGTCCAATCAAGAGGGCCACCCATATAGGTGACGACAGCACCTAAAAGAGAGAGCATTTCGACATCAGTGCGTGTTTCGCCGGGTTTGGGGTGGCTAGCGTCTTGGGGACCCCAATTAGAATCGGTGTAGATATCAAGCCGATCGTGGATGTTGATTTCGGGAGAACCGTCGGAGGGCCAAGATACAATGCCACGCATGCAGTTTTCCGGGTCGAACTGCGGGCGTGTGGGAGAGTCATCGGCCTGAGTGTACGCGATTCCCCATCCAGCATACCCTTTTAGATAGCGGAGGACATGTTTGGCGCTGGTAAGGTGTCCTGGGGATGGATTGTGGAGATATGTGGCTAACAGGCTGGTAACCGGAGTGATGTCCGGCCGAGTGCTTAAACTGATCCAGTTCAGACCGCCGACAATAGATTGGTATGCCTTCACGAGAAGTGGTTTCTCGGAAGGATCGATTCCATCGTGTTTGACGCGATCGATTGGAAGGCCACTGCGATAGGGGCTGTCGACCGCGTTTGCCTCAAGCAGAGAGTGCTGATCAAGCATCTTGTGAATATGTCCTTCTTGCGAGCAGTGAACGCGTGAACGACCGTCCGGGAGAACTTGCCAATCGTAATGAGTACCAAGGTAGATAGAGAGGTCGCCCATAAAATCAATCTTGAGCTGTTGGCCAAGAGCCTGTTCGAACCAGGCCTCTGTGGCATCGTCAGATCCCCAATACAGACAGTCATCGACATACGTGCCGAAGGTAATAGTGCCGCCAGCAGGGGATTGACCGATGAAGCCGCAGGGGTCATGCTTGCAAACGTCAAGTCCCAAACCTGTGAGCACTTTGCGGAACGTTTGATACCAGTGACGAGGACTTCTCCGTAGGCCGTAGAGAGTTTTCTTCAATCGCCAGAATGTGCCCGGCTTGGAGTACGGACAGCCTTTTGGTGGGATGCACACGCAAATCTCGTCATCTGGTAGTGTGGGGTGGCAGAAGGCGTTCTTGGCGTCGCACTGCTTGACCCGGCGTCCCTTAGAGATGGCAAGTGATACGATAGCGCGAATACTGTGTTTCATAATAACCGGGGCGAAAAGATCGTTCTTGCTCCAGTATCGTTCTTCGACATTCCCCATCACGACTGTGCGAGACTTGGCGCGAAGAGGTTTGCCCTCCGAATCCGTTTTAACCGTGTGTATGCACATGGTGGGGATGGCGGTGATGTTGTATCGCTGAACTAGGCGTTGGTACTCTGCGACGTTGATTTCCTCGTAAGTATCCAGAGAGATAAGTCCATTTCGCTCCTCGTCGTAAGATGCCAGCCACGTGGCGTAGTCGGGGTGTTTTTTATCACGTAGTGCTTGCCATAGGAATGTGGGATACGGTTTCGACAGTCCTTTAGCGGAGACATGCTTGGCGTGTCCACGAAAGCGTCGCCCAGATCGGGTTCCAGTTGTGTTTCCAAGATCTCCCGTCATGGGGTTATCCGAAGAAGGTTCGTTGCGTAGCAGAGGACTGTTGGTAATCTGATGGCCTAGTTGTAGGGTTTCGTCGGAAAGAAGGATGTGCCAGTCCGAAAGTAGATTGGAATCTCCAATTCGGTAACACGACGTCCAGTTCTGTCGTGCTGTGCGAAGCACCAGTGTGATTTGGCGGTCAGTTCAAGGGTACCAAGAAGGCGCTGACCATTTCGAAGATACCCGACCTTTTGGCCCGTCTTGAGCCATGATGGTGGTAGGGGATGTATTGGATCACCGTTTGATGGATCGTGGTTAGGGTCAAACTCAAGCTCGTGTGCCTCGCATTCGGAATAGTCGTAAAGATCAGTTTGCATGAAATCCCGGGTTGTGCCGTTATCGAACTGAAGACGGTACGTTGGTCTTTCTCCGGTGATAGGAGTGGAGATAATGGTACCATAGGTGTGGGGGGCTTCGCCTGTTTTAGATGCTGGTCCTTCGGGTTGAACGACCAGCACGTCTCCGAGAGAGTACGGAGTAGGATGTTTCGATGTGTCCAGAAGTGATAAGAGGAATCCGCCGTCGTTGAGCAGCTCCGGCCAGTGGGTTCGAACCTGTCGATGGGGAGCGAGGGAGTAATCTGCGGCAACACTGAATTGGCAGGTTTCCGGAGACCAGAAAAGCATTCCATTGGAGTCCTTACTCCGTCCCAAAGCAATACCGGGAAAAGTCTTGGACTGAAACTTGCTTCGCCCGACTGGTTTGCCCAATACGTAGTCGCGATCGCGCATGAAATACCCAACACTGCCGAATGGGAACAAGGTCCGGAGGTCCGGTTGTTGTTCAAAGAAAAGCTCAAACGGGGTGGCGTATCGAGTCGTACCATCTTCGTTCTTTCCAACGTCCAATGGAATCATGTTCATGCGCTCGAATGCTGTGCGAACCGCCCAAAACCAAAACTTCCGAGGCAGATTGGCCTCTTGGAGGTAGGCTCGAGCCATGGCCACTGCCGTACCCCAGTTTTGTTCGACTAAGCCGTTCTGGGACTGGCAATAGGGGACAGAAGAGAGTGTTCGAATGTTCCGACTTTGCAACAATCGGCGAACTTCCCCTCGAATCAACTTCGGATCAAAGTCTGTCAGCATACGGCAACATGTTTCAGCCCGTTTGGGTCCCATGTCGACGAAAAGCTGGCGAAATGCTTTTGCCAAGGTGGATCCGCTGGTATCACGAAGTCCATAGCAAAAGCTTTGACGGGATCCGGCGTCAACCACTACCAAGCAGTATCGATGGCCGCCGGGAGATACATCATCACCGAAGCCAATGTCCACACAAATGGTGTGGCCAGGTGGTGGGATTTTGGATTGCTTGCCGCGTCGTCCACGACGTACATTGACGAAATCGCCGATGGAAGCTGGAGTCTCTCCGAAATTGGCCACTTTACCGCCTTTGCAACAGTTTGCCAGGGTTTTCCAATCATTGAAGGTGCGATTACCGAAGAGAAGATGGAGTTCGTCATTGGAGAAACGCTTTGTGGCTGGAGAAGCAGAGTTGGGGACGTACTTTTTCACGGGAAGCCGAATCGAATCGAGGAGCTTCCCCTCTGAATCTGTCACTACAAGAACCACACTGATAGCAACAAACACAACCAATCGGTCATACCTATACCATTACACTACCTATTAGCACCATTAGAAGCATTGAAACGAAGCGAAAGGACCTCAGGAAGCCTGTTTTCTGTTATCTTGTTGAAGAGTACTGTTTTACTATAGGAATCCGCTCAACGTCATCACAGGAAACACAATCCCTTTTCCTCTCTTTACCTCTCATTCAAGCCCTCCGGTTGACAGGATCGACACCTCTGGTATCTCCTATCAAGCGCACCTCCTCTATCAAGCGACTATCAAAGCGGCCTTCTCCGGTTCAGATTAGAAAGCCATCCCAATTGAAATCCTACGAGATCGGGCGGGTTTTCTATTCTCGACCACCGACGGCCCCGTTGGAAGAAATTGAACACAAGAAGAAGTCTCCGGCCTTCCCCAGCACAGTACAGAAAACAATTCCCATACGTATTTGTTGTTTTCTGCACTCCGCTCCTGACGGCCGACGAAATCCCATTGTCGACCCGTTTTCGAACGACCGATCTTCTCCTTCCTCAACAACAACAGGCTCGGTTAACCTTACCTCTAAGGCAACCGGTGACGTGGTTTCGAATCGATTCCTCTGAATCGACTCGCGAATCGAATCGGTTTCCGAATCGAATCGAATCCAAGACTCGCTCCTCCGTGAATCGATCGATCTTCCCGCGAACGTACCTATTCCGCGACTGGTCGTACCTCTTCCTCCGTACGGATCGAACGACAGCCTACTACTATCAAGAAGGACTTCACGAGATACCTGCAGTGACCACCAAGAAGAGAATTACACCTGTATTCTTACTTTCTCACCGGCCACTAGTGGTTTCTCCCGACGTCCTCGTTGGACCTGATCCTACTGATCCAACCAGTCCTATCCCTATACAGACTGATTGACTGATCGACACCTGCTACTGTTACCACTCATACATTGACATCTAACTCCTCTCCCAGAGGAACAACAAACAACAACAGAGTTCCTGTAAGGAATTGAGTTGCCACCAGTTGGATACTGTCTCAGCTTGTACTTTGGGTCCACTGAGCACAGTCTCCATCCTGAACAAGACATATTTCCAGGCTTGGCTGCATTTTTAGAGTTGCTTTTGACAGCCCCTCCCTGGGATATCCAACTCCTCTCCACAGGATCCTACCCCCACAAGAACAACTACAAAAGCTGCCCCTCTAGCGTGTTTGGCTAGATTGTGCAACACTTCATTGACACAG